TTGTGTCCCTTGCCCCATTCTTTTTTTTTTTCAATTCTCTCCTCCAGGTCGTTGACCCCCGTTGATAGTCCTGCAGGTCGGGACATATTACAACATACAGGAATGATTTGAAATTAAGAGAGTAACGAACAAATTTAGTGGTATTCTGACAAACACAAAAAGGAAAATAAGTAAATTTACCTTCAAAGTAAGCTTGGAAGATTCAAAGAAAGTTTACTGAGAAAATAAACACAAAGACATAAGCTTGCAGAGAGCAGACAAACTGAATCAATGACCAAGAAAACACAAAAGTTGTTTTCTGATTAAAAATGTTAATGATGATCCCAGCTTGATGACTGGAATAAATCTGTCTGGCCATGTCATGTAATTGTTTTCATACACATTGTTGAACACTAGGTACGAAAGAGGAGTTTCACAACTATGTTCATAAGATGTATTAGTCTGTAGTTTTCATTTTAACATCTTTCTCTCCTTTGGGTAATAACATGGTCCTCAGAGAATGGGTTGAGAAGTGTTCCCTCTGCTTCTATTTTCTAGAAGACATTGTAGAAAACTGGCACAATTTCTTCTTTAAATACTTTATAGATTTCACCAGTGGAACTGTTTGACCCCAGTGACTTTTCTTTTGAGAGGGTATTATTGATTCAATTTCTTTACTAGATATGATCCTATTGATAGGACCCATTTCTTTTTGTATGAGCCTCCACAGGCGGTGGCTTTCAATCACTTGGTGCATTTCATCAAATTTATCAGATCTCTGGACACAGAGTACTACAGAATATTCTTTTATCATTTTCATGCCCATGGGATCAATACTGATGGCTAATCTTTTGACTTTTGATATTAGTAATTTCTGTCTTTTTTTTTTGTTAATTAACCTAATGGTTCATCATTGATCTTTTCAATGCAACAGCTTTTGGTTTCCTTGATTTCCTCTACTGGTTTCCCATTTTCAGTTCCATTGATCTCTGCTCCTGTGTTCATTGTTTCTTGCTCTGCTTGATTAAGGTTTATACTGCTCTTACTTTTAAATTTTATGTGATAGATGTTTAGATTATAGAATTTATTTTTTTCTCTCCTAATATGTACATCACTTGTACAAATTTCTCTTTACAATGTTTTCACTACATTCCACAAATTTCAACAAATTGTGTTTTCATTCATGTAGTTCAAAATACTTAAAAAATATTTTTCCCTGGAAGTTCTCATCAATCCATGTGTCAGGTAGATGTGCCATTTTTAAACTTCCAAGTATTTTGTTATATTGATGTATGTTTCTGTTATTGAGTGCTAGTTTCATTGGACTGATCACACAGTGAACCTTTTATGATGCAGGCATTAGCTTCCTGGGGCCACAGAAACTCATTACCACAGACTGCGGGGCTTGAACAACATGAGTTGAGTTCCTCACAGCTGTGGAGTCCAGAATTCCAGAACTAAGGTGTCAGCAGGGCTGTCATCTTCTGAGTCCCCTTTGGCTTGTGGGTCGCTGTGTTCTGCTGCCTTCACATGATCTCTCTGTGCCTATGTCATACTTCCTCATGTTTGTAAGGACAGAAGTCCTACTGGGTTAGGGCCCAACCTACTGACTTCATTTACACTTGATTACTTCCTTATACACCCTGTCTCCACATGCAGTCACATTCTAATGATCTCTCTGTGCCTATGTCATACTTCCTCATGTTTGTAAGGACAGAAGTCCTACTGGGTTAGGGCCCAACCTACTGACTTCATTTACACTTGATTACTTCCTTATACACCCTGTCTCCACATGCAGTCACATTCTGAGTTAGTGGGGGTCAGGACATCAACATATGAAGTTGGGTTGGGGGGACACACCATTCAGCCCATACTAATGTCTCTTCTTTTAAACACATTGTGGTGGGTTTTACTGCACAGAATTGTGCCTACCTTGGTGTATAATTCCATGTGCATAAGAAAATATGTATTGTGATGCTGTGGGATCAAATATTCTCTAAATGTCAGATCCAATTGTATCATGTGATTTTCTACTCAGTTGAAATCTATCCTCATTTTCTGCCTTCTGGATATTTCAGTTACTGATAGAGTGCTGTTGAGGTCTCCAACTCTTACAATAAGCATGTCTGTTTCTCTTTGCAATCCTATCAGGTTTTGCTTCATATATTTTGAGGCTCTGTTAGGTGCACAGCAATTAAGCATTGTGGTAACTTCTTGGAGTGTTGATCCCCTTATTACTATGCAATGCCTCTCTTTAGCATGGATAATTTTCCTTGTTCTGAGGTTGGCTTCCTTTAAACTCAATGCAACTTCTCCCACTTTTGTTTATTGTTCCAATGCATTTTGCCATTTAACTTGTAGCCTGTGTTTATATATAAAGTGTTATTTTCCAAAATACATATGGCTCTTGACCTTGAGAGAAATTGTTGCAGGTTGATTAATATCTACTACAGATGTAATTGCTTTGCACTTACCCCACTTTCTCTGTATTTTTTTTTTCCTGTGACTGACCTCTTTACGATTCCGGGTTCTCTTTCAGAAAATCAATGATACTTACTTTAAAAAATTAGCAGCACTTCCAATAGTTTATAAGCACATTAACAACTCATGCAGGTCCTCTAAAATAACATTATACTGTCTAATGGGCAGGTTAGAGACCCTATGAAGGCATATCCCAATTCTCATAGCTGTCATTCATTTTACCAATTCATAAGCTATAGATACATTATTGCTATTATTTTGAAAACACATCAAGATATCCAATAAGAAAACATATTTACCTTGTCACTCTTCATTTATGTACAACTGATATTCTTATATATTGTACATACATATATATGCACATTTCTCATATGTATACAAATATTTAACTTTTTTTCACTGAGAAAGATTAAACATCTCCTACAAGTCTGGCCTACTGACAAAATTTCCCATTTTTGTTGCCTGAGAAAGGCCTTGTTGTGCACTTCTCAATGAGCATCATGGGATACGGAATCCCAGGTTTCTTTTTCAATTTGTTAAATATTTCATGCCTCTTGTTGGTAGTATGATTTCCACCTTACCAATTTTCGCTGGATGCTAAAAATTGTTAGCAATGCTGCTGAAGTAAAAGTCATGATATTGTGAATTAATGATATGTTAATTTAAAAAATGATGTTAGGTATGACAGAAGTGGAAGTAAGCAGGCCTTTAGTATGTGGTTTTATACATATCTCAGTTGGGCTGTTAGTATTTGTTGTAGCTGCGTGTCAGATGCGTCGGTGCCTGCTTGTGTCCTCTTGGTCTCCCCTGATGGGTTTTTCCCTAACAACTTGTTCTTAAATAGACTCTCTGGGTTCTAATTTACTGCAAGTATACCAGGCTCTATTGATCTGGTGGTCAGGTTTGGGGAAGAGTGTTTTTAAATCTTGTGACTAATTTCCGTAAAGTGTACCCATGTCCCTGTACTAACCAGTGAATGTTTTCCATTTAGGAGGAATGGTTCATTTTCCTTAGCTTTTAGAAATGAGAACACTTGTGCTTGCACTTAAAACAAAGGAAGTTCATGTTGAAATGAGCTCTTCCCAATGTTTTCAGGGATACTTGGGATCTGAAGCATCTCTTAGTGGCCCCCCACCCTGTGTGTGACAGGAGAGCGAGAGGGAGGAGGAGCAGGCTAACTCCCCTTCCTCCCAGTCAGAGGCTGAGGCAGGTCTCAAGGTCCGGACCGTGTTAGGTGGGTCAGTGCATGTGTGACATTTCTCAGAATAGTTACTTCTACCCACGGCATATTTTAAAGTGGTTCCTTTATTTTTCCCCTGCTGGAAGCATGAGTTTTTCTCAGATCTTCACTTACAATGTGAACATGCTGAAGGTAAACCTCATGAATTTGTGGTGATTTCTTCCCAAATGGCCAACAGGCATTGTTCTTACTGTTCATTTCTCCCACCTGGGAGTCTGATGGCAGGGGTGTAGTGTGCAAGGCCTGGTGCATGCAGGTCAGGCCGCATCGGCCCCTCTTCCTTCCTGAGAACATTTTCTAAGGAGGGCGTAGTCATGAATATGGGTCGCACCACTGAGCTCTTTCTGAAAGACACAGACCCGTTCCTTTGAAGTCTGACCAAGGAGGATGGGGTTTTCCTGGTTTCTGTGGGGATAGAATCCTAACTGCACTAAGCACCTGCCCTGAGTACAGCCCACTGTCCTGCACTTTGAATATTTTCACTTTTCCTACTTTGCCAAGACCCTGTGCTCCCTCAATCCCTCCTTTCCCTTTACAATGCCCATCACCCCAAGCAGCAATGAGATCTATACACACGCAGATACGCTTAACTGGCTCATGCAAATATGAACCCCAGGAAGTCCCACCACCCGCCATCTGGAAGCCGGTCTGTAAGCCTGAGACCTAGGGGAGCCGATGTCATGAGTCCCTGAGATCAGAACGCCCACGTGAAGCTCTCTGGTGGACCTGAGCACCCAGGGTGCAGATGTCTGAAGGCAGGAGAGGGTGGAAGTTGCAACTCCAGAAGAATATTTCACACTTCACCTGTTTGTTCCATTTGGGCCAATGATGCTGCCCACAAAGCTGAGGACAATCTCCCCAGTTTGCTGAGCCAAATACTCATCCCAGGGACAGCCTCCCAGAAACACCAGAATAATGTTAGCTCTCGGGGCACCCCTTAGTGTAGGGAACACAGTTAACCCCCAGTCACTGACTCCGTGTTGCACACGAAGAGCCTTCTGCATCCCAGTGTCCTTCTGCAGTGTTTATGGAGGGCAGCAGGGAGCAGTGACCCATTAGTTCCTCATCTATACATTCAAGTGCCCAAGTCATCACACCCATCACACCTATGCCTCCACGAGGGCATTCCCCCGGGGACGGCGGGGGAAACAAGTTGAGCACCTACCTGTGCCCACATGCCAGCCTGCTCTTCTGCCAGACATGCAAGAAGCCAAAACCCTAATCCCTATTTTCCACCCACGTTGTCAGGCTGCTCTGAGTACCACTTGTGCGATGGCTCTCTGCAAGGAAGACATTGAGATGACACTGAATAAAAGAAGGCTTTTATCTGGACAGAGAATGCGGGAGAACATGGGGAGGAGGTGAGGCTGGTGGGAGACGGGAGGCAACAGGAGCGTTTGGTGGAAGAGCCCCGGACAGCTGGGTAGCCTCAGGGAGGGCGTGTCAGCAACAGCCCTGCCCTTATCCCCGGGCTGCAATCACCGGCTCAGGGCTGCCCACGGGAAGATCAGTCAGTCACAAGACCCGGTCTGCAGGAGAGACATTTCCCCAGGATCCCGGGTAATTCGCTCCCCTCCCCTTCCCTGCTGTCTGCTTCTCAAACCTGGACATTGTGTGTCAGAATCTGCCTTAAATACTCAGAACCACGGAGACTTAATTTTCATGGATGGGGAGCATCTCCAAGTTCAAGTCTTGGTAGACCTGCGGATCTCCTTGGCCTGCGTGATGCATCCGCAAGCGGGGTCACGGGCTCAGCTGCAGCTTTGCACAGCAGCGGTTACTTCACGGGAATGGTTGACCACCATAGGCAGACCCTGAGGTGCGGACGGTCAGCCATCGACTAATGCTTTGGCCACACGCTGCACACAAGTGCTTCCCTGATGAGTGGAACCTCTAACACCCACACGTGTGATTATGGCTCACGTTCCTCTCCATGAAGCACACATGGGCCCTTTCCTCCATGTGTGCACTGGGGACTTGGCCACACTCCCTTCATACAAAAGGCTTCTCCCCTGAGTGTACCTTCTGATGTCTCTGGAGATTCGATTTACTCTGAAAACCTCGCCCACAATGACTACACACAAAAGGTTCCTCCTGAGTGTTTCCGCTGGTGGTAGACGAGGGATACCTTGTGGAAAAAACCTACACCACACTCCGTGCACTCAAAAGGCTTCTCCCCCGAGTGTCTCCTCAGGTGGGAGGTAAGAGATGATTTATTTAAAAACCCTTGTCCGCACTCCCTGCACTCAAAAGGCTTCTCCCCCGAGTGCGTCCTCAGGTGGTAGGTAAGAGATGATTTGTGGAGAAAGCCTTTCCCACAGTCCTTGCACACAAAAGGCTTCTCCTCTGAGTGTTTCCACTTGTGGGTTGTCAGGGATGATTTGTGGGCAAAGGCTTTCCCACAGTGCTTGCACAGAAATGGCTTCTTCCCCGAGTGTCTCCACTGGTGGGCGAGAAGAGATTTTTTTCGGGTAAAGGCTTGTCCACACTCCTTGCAAACAAAAGGCTTCTCACCTGAGTGTGTCTTCAGATGACGTAGGAGATATGACTTCATGCTGAAATTTCGCCCACAGTACCTGCACACAAAAGGCTTCACCCCCAAGTGTTTATTCTGATGGTTTATGAGACTGGGCTTCCACCTGAAACTCTGCCCACAATACCTGCACACAAAGGGCTTCTCTCCTGAATGTGTACGCTGGTGGGAGTACAGGGATGGTTTATGGTAAAAGCTTCGCCCACACTCCTTGCACACAAAAGGTTTCTCTCCTGAGTGTGTCCTCTCATGGGAGATCAGGCCTAATTTTCGTTTATAGGCAAGCCCACACGTCTTACACACAAAAGGCTTCTCCCCTGAGTGTGTACTCCAATGGGATTTGAGGGATGATTTTCGGGAAAATCCTTGCCCACAGTCCTTGCACACAAAAGGCTTCTCCCCAGAGTGAGTCTTCTGGTGGCACATCAGGTTTGATTTATGGGTAAAGCATTTCCCACACTCCGTGCACACAAAAGCTTTCTCCCCTGAGTGAGTCCTATGGTGCTCTATAAGGACTGATTTATACATAAAGCCTTTCCCACACTCCGTGCACACAAAAGCCTTCTTGCCTGAGTGAGTCCTCTGGTGGCACATCAGGGTTGATTTACGGATAAAGCCTTTCCCACACTCCTTGCACACAAAAGGCTTCTCCCCCGAGTGTGTCCTCTGGTGGTACATCAGGTCTGATTCATGGATAAAGCCTTTCCCACACTCCTTACACACAAAAGGCTTCACCGTTGAGTGAGTCTTCTGGTGGTGCATCAGTTCTGCTTTACGGATAAAGCCTTTCCCACACTCCTTGCACACAAAAGGCTTCTCCCCTGAGTGAGTCTTCTGGTGGTACATCAGGATTGATCTACACATAAAGCGTTTCCCACACTCCTGGCACACAAAAGGCTTCTCCCCTGAGTGAGTCCTCTGGTGGTGCATCAGGTTTGATTTATGATTAAAGCCTTTCCCACACTCCTTGCACACAAAAGGCTTCTCCCCTGAGTGTAACCACTGGTGGGCGACTAGGCTTGATTTTTGGGTAAAGCCTTTCCCACACTCCTTGCACACAAAAGGCTTCTCCCCTGAGTGTTTATACTGGTGGCGGGTCAGGTGTTTTTTATGGGAATAGCGTTTGCCACACTCATTGCACACAAAGGGCTTCTCCCCTGAGTGAGTCCTCTGGTGGTGCATCAGGTTTGATTTATGAGTAAAGCCTTTCCCACACTCCTTGCACACAAAAGGCTTCTCTTCTGAGTGTGTATATTGGTGGGACATCAGGGCTGATTTTTGGATGAAGCCTTTGCCACACTCCTTGCACACAAAAGGCTTCTCCCCTGAGTGTGTCATGCAATGGTATCTCAAGGCTGATTTATGGGAAAACCGTAGCCCACACTCATTGCACAGAAAAGGCTTCTCCCCAGAGTGTGTCCTCTGGTGTGTTACGAGGTTTGACTTACTGCTGAAGTCTGGCCCACCCTCCCTGCACATATATGGAATCTCTCCTGGGTGCATCTTCAGGTGCAAGAAGAGTGCTGACTTATCAGTAAAGTCCTGTCCACACTCCCTGCATGTTAAAAGATTCTGTCCATGATGTGCTTTTCTGTGTTCGAGTACGTCTGTCTTCTGGCTAAAGCCTTGCCCACAATTCGCATGCATGAACCCCTCCCACCCTGAATTTCCTACTCCTTCAAAAACTTTGCCTGTTTCTTTAGGATTTACCTTCTGGGCTTGGCTGCCCTCTATTTCCACCACTGAGTTCCTTTGCCCCAGACTTACTGCCTGGGTGGGGTGTGGGCTGGAAGGTATCCCAGACATCTGACTCCCCCTCCTCAGCAAGGTCTGGGAGTTTTCTGTCTCTTGACCTTCTGCCCTATCACTCTGGTCGCTCTGCTGAGAGAGTTCTTCCTGCTCTTTTTCCTGGTGCTCCAGCCCAGGATTCCTCGGCTGTGGGTTATTTGTTGCACGTGCACCTGCAGACATCTGAGCAGAATGGTCGTGAATCGTGTGCCTCAAGAGGATGTGCTGAGCGGAGGTCAGTGGGCAGCAGGGAGAGAGATGGATTTCTGGCTTTGCTTCTGCTGAAGAGAAAAAGTGCCCCATCAGGATGGTCACAGGCGAGGCAGCCTGGACCACCACACAAGACAAATGCCACCACCTCCCATGAGGGTTGCCCTCCCAGGCCCTGCTCTTCCATCTAGTTGGAAGCTGCTATCTTCTCTTGGAGAGAGCAATGTACACACTAGGGAAGGATTTTCTTCAGTCTGTTATCTGACTTCAGGTAGTGCATCATCTAAGTTACAAATGCTACTGAGCCTCAGGAGGGAGATCTTCCTGTGTGTGACAACATGGATGGCCCTGATGTCATCATGCTGACTCACGGCAGACAGACAAATCCCACACGACAGCACCTGTATGTGGGATCTGAGAAACAGAAACAGAAATAGACGGACAGGCAAGGAATCTGAAGGACACCAAGGGTGGGGGAGGGGCTGGCAGCAGGCAAAACAAGGTGAGGGGATGAAGATGCGCAAACTTCCAGCTATAACATAACTACGTAACGGGAAGTAGTGTACAGCACACGGAAGATGATGTAATTAATTTGTGAGACCATGCATGGGAAGTAGTATTATCATGGGGATCATTTTCTAATGCATAAAAGTAATAAATCACTGTGGCCTGAAATGAATCACACCTGAAAATAATGGGATGTTGTACGTCAATGACACCTCAGTCAAAACTGTATCAGATGTCACCTATGGTGTAAACACACGAGAGGCTCCACAACACATGGACTACATCTTTGCACAAATTGCTGGGCCCTGTACCCTTCCCGCTCAAAACTCAGTTTCTTCCACTTTTGAGTCCCCCACTCCAGCCGACACTGACGGAGGTTTTTCTGTTCTTTGGACAATGCTCCTTCCTGACTGGGTAGAAGGAACACCAAATACACCCATATAAATCTGCTTGGATTCATGGTTTACTTGGTCTGAGTTCTGCTCAAAGCTGATGACATGGTCAGAGAGGCCTCTGCTGTCCGTCCTGTGTGACCAAGTCACCCACTCCCAGCCCACTATCCCAACGCCACCCCCACGTGCTTCTCTGGTAGTGCCTTCACAGCACTTCTTTCCTGAAATCACAGAGGCGGTTAGGGGTGCTCCTGTGCCTACCACCAGTGCAGGTAAGCAAAAAGGAGAGGGGATTGTATGGGCCCCTTCAGTGCTGCATTCCCAGGGTGACAACAGAGGTTGGCATGGAATAAAAGGCCAACTGATGATTCATGAATGAGTATGTTCTATGAATGACCACATCCTAATAGTATGATGTCTTAAAGGTGAGCAATTAAGAACACTAACAAGAGTCACCTTTGCTGAGAAAGGTGGGAAATATTTTAGTAGACTTGATTTTTATTCTGCAAGCTGCTCACCATTAAGTGCCAATGTGAGAAAACAATATATACACACACAAAATGAATACAAAAACCACCTGTAGAAAGGAAATATTTACACTCGCTATTGTGGCTACAAGGAAAACAAAACATTCATGTTCAGAAGGAAAATCTGCAGTAAAAGGAGAAAGTCCACTTTGGAATGCACTCCTGGTGCTTTTGGCCATCAGTGTGCAGACGGTCCCAGCGGATCACCCGGCACCTCTCAAACGTGTGACTTTCTGAGTATTTACATGTCACCCGAGGGCTTCCAGTTACTCTCAGTGGCTTCTGACCATTCCGAGGATACAGCGCTAGCTGCATCTACGAAGCCTGAGAAGTAAGAGTGTCTGGGCTGGCAGCCTTTATTCTGTACCACCTGGGACACCCCAGATTCCTGAGCCCACTGTGTTGGCTTCAAGCCCCTGCAAGGGCCCTTGTCAACCCTAACAGGCCTGACATGGACTTGCTTTTGTAAGAATTCTGTGGTCAAAATATGAACACTGGGGTCATGTTTCAACACTCACAGTCTGACAAGTTGGTGGCAGAAAGAACCACTCTCCTTAAAATTCACTGACAGATAAATCAATGAGCAACTGCGTTGGGGTGGGAAAGGAGCTGCTATGCTCGGGAAAATACAGAGCAAGGAAAGAGAAAGACGTCCAAAATCT